GTCGCAATGCCTAAAACACCGCAAAACGTGACAAAATATTAGTTGTACTGATTCAGTATAAAATAAATCGTGAAATATCCTTTATCACAGAAAAACTAGATTGTCCTGTTAAAAAGAACACGTGTTAATTGACGTTCGTGGTCTAGACGAGTGTTATGTTTTTTTAACTCAACCTAGTCCGCCATCATTGCGCGATCACAACGACCCTGGCACCTCATTTCCATCCGTTTTGTTTCCTGATGAAACCGATCACCATTTTCTTCTATGAGTGTGGTTCTAAGCTATTTTGAAATGTTCTAGATGAGAATTGAGAAAAGGCAAATTCAAGCTCGTGTTGATATTTTGAGCATTTTAACAAGTTCCGTTTCGAACATTTGTAATAATAATAATAATAATAATAATAATAATAATAATAATAATAATAATAATTAGTAGTAGTAGTATAATTATTATTATTATTATTATTATTATTATTAGAATAAGGAGAAGGAGAAAATTGTTGGCAACATCACTCCTGAAATATATTTAGAGTTCTTTAATGCCTGATTAAATTTTAAATATAAGCTATTAGGAAGTCCATAGTTTTCGAAGAGTTGTCTTATGTAAAGATTCCTTCCATTTTGAGGAAGTCGGCCAATTCAGTCCATGATTTAATTTACATGCCTAATACATTCAACTCGTCTGCTCGGTTTGTTGAAAGGTTGTAATTACATCGTAAAGTGAAGGAAGGTAGGACACCCCGTTGCTTCGACAATGCTCTTTTTTTTTTAATGGAAATAAATACAGAAAACAACTCTAGAATTTTATTTTACGTATTATTTCGCAACCAAAACAAAATTAAAAAAACACCCAACAAATTAGATTTGTCGCAACTTCCCGCGAGTTCAGGTGTTTGAGAGGGCCGCAGGGTATGGTTTGAGAAAAAATGTTGGCGGTTATATATCTTTGCGGGGTGTGAAATGGTTATTTTAATTACGCAAAACCTCCTTTGTGTGTTTACTCAGTCGGTCTACTTCATGATACAGACACTCCCGCCTTGACACGAGGGATGCGACACCGATGTCGATGTTTTCGAAACACCTATGTTTTTGTAAAAACATCGATGTATTAAAACATCAATGTATTAATGCCGATGTGTTTTTAACATCGATGTTTTGTATTCGATGTTTTTTCTTTTCCAATTTTCTGAATAAAAAATTCCCACGATCACAATTCTGTAAAAGTTGAAAATAACGTGTAGTAACACTGTTAATTATGTGTTGGTAACAAAGGAATGCTATTTTCACTACCTTCATCGACCAAACTATCTTTCGTGTTTCTTCATATTAATTTCGCACCTTGAGATTTGGTCAAGAAATACGCTGTAGACGTAGGGTCTGCCCCGTCTTCTCGTACATTTATTCGGTGAACTCTCTAATTAAATTTTTATGGACACGACTTGGAGGTTAATAAAGAAGTCTAAAAACATGGATGTAGAAAAACATCGATGTTCTTTTTAACGATGTGTCTTTAACGTCGGATGTTCGCCAACGTGGATGTTTTGTTATCGATGTCGCATCACTACTTGACACGAGCATACTTGGAATACGGTGGCGCCGAGAGCGTTGCCACGTAGCAATGCCTAGTCGTTGTCGATGACCCTTCCGGGCGCGCGTGCCCGGTGTCGGGCGGCGGCGGCGTGCGTGCGCGAGAGGTGGATGGGAGTTTCCCGGCGCCTGCCCCGCCCCCGCCGGAGCGCTGCGACTTTTGGCCGGCCACTCGCCGCTTATCTTATCACGGAAGCGGCGGCGCAGTGGCGATTCGCGAGGCTCCGATTCGCGTCCCGCGCCCGCCCGCCCGCCCGCCCGCTGCCGGGGAGCGGCGCCCGAATTCCGCCCGCCTTATCGACACGCCGGCGGACCGTGCCGGTCGAATCCCGGGGCGAAGGCTCGCGCTGGACAAGTTTCGGTCGCGTTTGTTTCAAGGAAAGATGGACAAGATTCGGTCGCGTTTGTTTCAAGGAAAGATGGACAAGATTCGGTCGCGTTTGTTTCAAGGACAGATGGACAAGTTTCGGTCGCTTGTTTCAAGGAAAGATCATGCCACCTATGCGTGCGCTCATATGCTCCTGCTTACCTAAACGAATACGTGATAGTAGTATGCATGTGTAATGCTTATATCTAGAGGTAACACCTTATTCAAGAGGCCGTTGCCGAGCTAATTGAAGTGATACGACATCTTCTTAAGTTTATTCCACTACACTCGCCCTTTCATTGACGTAGTAATAAAATGTTTCTTCATCGTCGGTAAACGTGGCAGCTTCCCTTAGAATTTTGCAGATAATCTGAATGTTTTGGATCTCACAATTTTTAGGTAACGATGGCAATTGCCCTTCATGAATAGACTGTAAACCACACGTGGCGGTTTGAAAGGAAATGACGGCTTTTATTGTTACTCGGAATGATTGTCAGCATTTAAGTGCCAGCTTATTCTGTGATGGAATACCCATTTTTTATGGGAGTTACCACAGCTGTTTTTGTGTAGTAGGAGATACAATGGAGTTTTCCATGGAATTCTGCTGCCACCTGCTGGTGATCTATTAACGTTTTGGTGATAATGCACGAGAGTGGGTGTCTGGTGTACCGAGCAATTCTCCGCGGGTTACCCCTAGCTCGTAGCGTGGGGAAGTCGGCGAGGTGCGTGCGCAAGTCGCCCGCGAGGGCCGGGGCAGAGGATCGCAGACTCGCAGACCGACGCGGAGCGCAGGCGGGCAGCAGGTGGGCGTGCGCCCCGCCAACGAGCATGCGTCTACTTACGCGTGGGCGTGGGCGTGCGCGTGGTCTAATGCTTGGCTTTCGACCTTTGTGCAGTTATCGATTCGCGGGGCAAGGGCCGTTCGCCCGGCGTGGCGGCGGTGGGCGAGGCGACCCGACTCGCCCCGCCCCGCACGCCCTTTCCCATTTCACCCGGCTCCTGCCGCTTCCCAGTTTCCCCACCTACTTCCCACGCCCGTCTTCAGCTCCAGACTCCCGCCCCCTTCCTCGACCGTCGTGTATTCGTTCGCCCTGTTCTTCACCTTTTTGCCGTTCTCCGCTTTCGTTTTCATCCCGCCTCGTCCACCGTTCCAATCCTTACATCTGCAAGAGTCTCTCGCTTCGTGCACCGGCCTGCAACCAAAAACCCTCAGCTCCTTTGATCGCGCTCCGTGAAAATCGCTAGAGCTCATCGCCATGCGAAAAAAATAAAAGATCCGAGTGAACTTTTTTCTCCTTTTCAGCAATGCAACGAATTCAAGTTGTTCAATGTCATTAACATCGCCATCCGGGCCGCTAGTAGCCATTGGTCGCGGACGAAGACACAGCCCAGGCGGGGTAGTAGTTATCGATTAAGCGCCGGCATGTCGAAGCGTATTCTGTGGGAAAGTAAGGAAGGCCCGGTGCTCCGTCCGCGCTGCCCGGCCAGGCGCGGCGCGCGCTGCGACTGAAGCCGGCAACCGGCAGCGCTGGCGCCCACCGCGCGCGCGCGCAGCTCGCTCGGCTCCCGCGGCGGCCGCCCCGCGCCTCATCGGCCGTTTCACTCGGCGCTATTTTTAGCCCCGCAGGCGCGTACTCGTTCAGCTGTCCCTTCGTGCCCCACTTCGCGGCGGGCGCCCCCGCCCTACGGCATGTGCCCCGCCCTTGCGCCGCCGCCGCCGCCGCCGCCGCCGCTGTCGTCGATGCCGAGGGTCGATCCTGCGCTTTCGCCCACGGATCAGCACGCCCGCGGCGGGAGCTCGGCTTCTCATAAGGCGCGTCGGATCTTCTTCCGAAGGCCCCGTCACCTGCTCGTATTTCAGCTCCCAACTCCCACGGGGGCTTTGCCGCAAAGGAAAAAACCAACAAAGCGTTATATCCAGATATTAAGGTTTATATTGGAAATATGTGTAGAAAGATGTGTTGTCATTTATGTTAGGTGATTATTTAATATTTTTCTCGCGATTTTGTATTCAGCAGATATTTATCGTAAATGTCAGAAATGTACAGGAGTTCATTAACCAGTTATTATTTTTTCTATAAGCCTCCTCATTTCATATCTTTTCCTTGTTTCTCTTTTTTCAAATAAATCCTCCTTATTAACAGTTTTACTTTTGTTAAACCAAATACTTTCACAGTACGTTGCCACCACTATTTCAAAAGCATTCTTCTAATGCTTACATTTAAGAGTGTGTTGCGGGAAATTGCTCATTGGACTCAGTTGTCGTGCTTTAGATTTGGTGATTGAACTTTGTTTTGCCGTAGACTATTATTTTACTCGTGTTTTCCACATTATGTCTTTAGAACTCTTTGCTTGTAGACTACGGAGTCAATTTGTGAAGACAGACGAAGTGCACTAGCATATTTCAGACGTTTAAGAAGCTAGATGTGCAGACCATTTAAGTTCTAAAACTCTGTGTTAATACAATGTAGTAATTATAGTACGAAACTTTAAAAAATATTATGAAATGAAAAGAAATGTTGGAAATTCACCTTTGCGAATAAATTAATAAAAAGCAATCAGATGATTTCATTATGTAACATGAAAATTGATGCATAACATGTTATAACTTAAAAGCATATTTACGCTATTAAAAAACAAAGAACAGGATTTCAGAAAACCATCAATACATAAAATATTTCAGCTAGAAATCAATTGAAAATCCAAAAGTACATTAAATTAACGATTAGTTCCTTATTTGCAAATTGTTAGTTGATTTGTACCTGATATACTTGGATTTTTGGTTTTTGTGTAATTCTGTTCAATCTATCTGTAGTTTGAAAACAGCCATATGCACAGACCCCTGACCACAAGTTCACAAGTCGCCAATTTCCTCCCCCACCCAGAAAAATAGATTGTCTACATGGATTACGCACTGCTGTACGTTGTCTACAGAAGTCGTAGACTACGAAATTTTAGACGCATATCCCTGTTTTGAACCTGCCCTTAGTTCACTAATTTTTATGTAGACGTATAATATTTACATATATTTTCTTTTCTTCTTGCAGGAATTTTACGAACACACGGAAATACTATGGAAAGACAGAGGCGTTCAAGCGTGCTTCGAGAGGTCGAATGAATACCAGCTTATCGACTGCGCGAAATAGTAAGTATATCCATCTTTTGATCTCAACATTACAGCGGTGAAAGTCAAAATAGGGGAGGTGAAGATTGAAAAGGATGGGTTTTGTTGTAAATATACACCAATTGCTGCACCTGCTGCGATCTTCGGTGTTACATTGAGAGGAATCTCCAGAATTCTATTTTTAATGGCTTATGTTTGGAGAACTTCCAAAGTTGTTAGAACGGTACTGCAAGTTTGCCGTATTTTGCCGCGAAATGTTTGGTTCCAAGAGAACGAATAGTTTTTGCGCTTCATAAATACGAATTTGATAGTTCGTGATTGGAGAATTTCTTAATATTTTCTTCCGTATATAGGCGTGACAGTCGTGCAACGAATTAACGCGACGGTAGAATTACATGCAGAATTTCGTCATTTTTCATATTGTAACTAATAATTGTGTGCTAGAAAAGTATAAGGGAAAATCATATGAAAAGTATAAGGGCAATTCATATTTTGTGAAAGCATTTTTGACAAGTGAGAGGTACTAATTGGTCTTGGAACGTTGAAGTGCCTCGACCCTAACCCGTACCGACTTCTTCGTGTTTACTTGGTAGGCCGCCTACGTAGAGGACCTCTTTAAACTCGGGCAAAATCTGTTATTGGGCAGAAGGGGGCTGGAGAAGAAAGTAAACTCCCGTATGCGGCGCCCTTGCATCCGGGCGCTGTTGCGCGCGGCTCCGTGCTCCGCCGCCTCCACTGCCGCCGCTCGACGTTGTTCGCCGGGCGCGTGGGCGGGCGGTGCGCTCCAACGCACCGCTCCCCCTGCGCGCCCGGCCCCGCCCCGCCACTCCCCCCACCGGCGCCATTTGCGGCGACGCTAAACTGTATCGAGGCGCGGTGAGGGCGAGCGAGCTAAAGTTGAATGAGTGATCAATGAATCGATGCGCACGCCTTCCGCGGGGCGGGGGCGGCGGGCGGGGGGCGGGGCTCCGGGCGAGCGAGGGGCGCTGCGCGTCTACCCCACCGGAGCGGCCGCCGACTTCGCCCGGCGCGCGGGCTGCGGCAGGCGGCGGCGAATGTGCGTCCGTGCAGAACGGCCCTTCGCACGCCGACCTTCTGTCGGGGGACAGTCGCAGTGGATCAATGCTCGGCCGAATTCGCGTTTGGACGGAGGAGGCCGTTAGTACTAGTTAGATGACAGACCCCGGTCACTCGGCGTCGGCAGAGTTCTGGCGAACAAGCTCCGACAAGAAGTTCCTTGGTGACATAACAGAATCAAAATGAGTTTGTTCTATCCGGTTGAACTAAGTCATTCAACATTGTCGTAGGCTTACGATTTAAAGTCCAACTATAGAAATATCAGCAGGAAATTTGAGAATGTGGAGGAAATTTGTGGCTGACAGTTTCTCTCAAACATGTCTCTAACTTCGGTATTGCTATGGGAAAAAGGAATTTCTTTTACAAACATTTCTGTTATTCAGTTAAAAGTAAGTCGTATTAAACGTACCTCTCAGCGAGCTGTTTGAATCTTTTCGCTTCTATCGCATGACGCGTGTACCTAGTAATTTAAAGACGAATGTGTGCATTCCTGTCCAGTCCAGTCCAGTCCAGTCCAGTCCAGTCCAGTCCAGTCCAGTCCAGTCCAGTCCAATGTGACCACTGCCGTTCCGCAAAATCAGATCACCGTTCTCACCTCGAACTTTCAATCGGACGAACACGGATCGTACACCAAGCCACCTCGTTGAAGACTGAAAATGCATTACTATCCACGCAACTACACGCGCGAAAATGGACACCTCGCTTGGCCGCTATGCACATTTCAATTCCGATAATTCCAAAGTGGCTACCATTTGGGCAATGATTTGCGTATGTATAATACGTATAAATTTGCCTGATTTTAACTATTGATTTCAACTTTCAGGTCATTTGGTATTATTTTATTTACACACACAATGAAAGTGCAATTTTGAAGAATTCCAACTACTGCTCAGAACAGAACCCACAAGTATTTTAATTTGTAGATGTGCCAAGAATATTATGAACAGAAAATGAAGTTCAAAATCTAAAATATGATGCATAGAGATGCTTGAAAACCATCAAAAATAAAATAGAAGCAATAAGAGTTCAAATAATACTGCCTTCAAATTTTGTGTATAGCATAAAGTAAATAGCGTAAATGGACTTTCAAAATTACAATTATGTTTCTCCTTTAGGTGAAGGAAGTGTACATTTGTGGGGGGTGGGTGTGTATATATACATATATATTTCGTAGCAGTGTTGTGGGTCGGTGATAATACGAACTCAATTGATCTACTAATTAAGAGTCTGTAAATCATTAGAATGATCAAACGCAGCCGCCTCATCATTCTCGACTCTTAATTTCTCCCTCGGAGAAGAGGCCAAACAGCAGAACTTGATATTTAGGAATAGTGTCACGTTCTTATTTCGTACGTTCTAAAATTTGGCCCGTTGGTGATAGCTGCTTTGAGGGAGGCAATTCCGTTGCCCAGACATTGACATTTCTTGGAATCTACCTTACAAGTTCAGAAGAAACGGTATACGAGTCCCATATTTGGAATGTTGAAAATACTCAGAGATTCCACCCAAAAATATTCCATCTAGTTCCGGTGAACGTCGAAGCGGAAACCTTGACTCCATCTATGTTTACTCCATTTATATTATCACAGAAAGTATTGGAACATATACTAGTACTTACATATTACCCACCTACAGCTCTCGATGATTGGAATAACAGGACGTCGTAATGATTCCAACCTGTAACAAAGATAAAACCTCTGCTCTTGGTTCAAGTGCACGCTTTTCGAATTATATTTCGCTCGATGCACGTATTCAGTTTATTGTATACAATTGCCCAGATTCTTTATACTTCCTGAGTAGACGATTTCGGTTCCGATTGTAAAAAGTTCGACTATTTCGTAGACTATAACTTTTCCGTATGTGAAATTGTGAGTAATAGTAACATAAAATTACATCTAGCACGCCGCAGCACGTTTTCATTTGGCGTATTGCAGTGTGCGGAGAACTTTGCCGTAAGGAGTACACGCGCGCGAACGTAGTCGCGCTGTCGGACGAGGAGTCCGCGTGCAGAGAGGTTGGTGGATCGGTCGATGGGTCTATCCCACGCCGCCGCCGCCGCTGTTTCCCGGAGGCGCTAAAATTAGCGCCCGGCTCCGCGGATGCACGGCAGCGGCGACGCCGACGCACGAGGCCGGGCGGACGAGCGCGCGCGCTGTAAACAGTGAATCATCATAACTGCAGACACCGGGCGGAAAACGCGCCCTCGCCCTCGCCCTCGCTCTCGCCCTCGCCCTCGCCCTCGCCCTCGCCCTCGCCCTCGCCCAGGCCCCGCGCCAGCGCCGCGCCAGCCCCAGCGCCGCCGCGCCCGCCCAGCGCCCGCGCCGCGCCCGCGCGCCGCGCCCGCGCCAGCCCGGCGCGCGCCGGGCCGCCATTGACGGCTAGATCAAAGCGCGCGCGCTCGCGAAGCGCGGCGCGTCAGCGAGCACGCTGCGCACCGCCTCGCCCTCGCTCCACACTCCACCATCACCCCTTCGCCTTTCACCCCCGCTCGCCATCACCCCCCTCCCTTCACCTCCGGTCCTCGCCGTCACCTCACCCGCGCCTTCATCGCCACCCTCACACACGCCCTCGCCTTCACCCCCGCCTTCGCATTGGCCGTAAAGCCGTCAACTCCGCCCTCAGCCCTTCGCTCACCTTCACCATCACCACTTCGCTTCACCTGCGACCCTCGCCGGCACCCTCGCCGTCACCAGAGCGCTTCGTCACCTTCACAATCACCTCGCCATCACCGCGCCTTAATCATCACCCCTCACCGCGCCGACACCCCGCCCACGCCCATCACCTGCGCCTCGCCGGCACCCTTGCCGTCTGCCGACACCCCCCTCCTCGCTAATCTCACCCTCACAACTTGGCCCACACCTCCCCCTCCTGCAAGCCTTACTCATTCCCCTTCCCACGCTCCTATCACGCTCCCGCTGAGCCTATCGCTGAGTATCCCCCCTTCCGCTGCGCTCTTCTTTGCACAGATCCTAGCTTGGCAACGTCTAAGTCTCTACTAAGAAATCTTTGCAAGGTTTCATTGCGCTGAGCAAGTGTTTTCCGCTCTTTTTATTATGTATAAATCAAAAATTAAAGAAGAATGTCAATATGATGATGATATAATTAAAAAGATAGATCAACATTTTCCCGGATCAGCATTGTTTGCTAAACTTATCGCTGAGAAAAAAAAAAATTGGAAATTCCAATTGCATTCATTTTAAATAAATGTTTACATTAATTGTTGACAATCCAAGCGGACATTCAAACGGAATGGCTGTGTTACTACAAAACCAATGACGCAGCATAAGAACGAGAAAAACGTATCTATCTCTTACCTTAAGCTGTTCTTCACACAAATCAGTGGAATTTTAAATTCTTCAAACAATTTGCCTCGCGTGCAGCCCTAATTAGTACAAGTAATATGATAAACTGCCCCGAATTTCTACGATATGAAGTGTGACCATCTCCAGAGTTGTTTCTTTTTCCCCACCCGCTGAATTCGGTATTGCTCATTATAAAATTCCAGCATTCCATTGTTTCCCCTCTTAACACTCCGAATTACAGCAAAAGGTCCTTTCTAAGTCGCCCCTATTGTACAACTCCATGTTTGCCCCAGACTAAATTTGCCAGCATCAGGCTGCGTTTTGCATTCTACAAGGGAAAGATCGTGCGACGTCGACTTCCCGTCCAAGCCCAGCGTCGGTGCCCGTCCGTGCCGCAAAAAAACTAAGAAACTCGTGTTTATTATAATGTGATTTAGCACCTTAAATGCGAATGTCTTGACTGATAATGCCATAGAATATTGCCAATTCACCTACAATCTCTTTTAAAGTCCTAAATGGTGACGCGAACAAACAAATTAATTACAATGTACTCGTAGTTATGTCTTTGTGAAGTAAATGCTTATATTAATTCGGTTACTGCGATTTATACAATGAAAATTAATCTAAAAATAAAAGGTTCAC